ACATATCATGTATTGTAGGTTTTAGTGCCAATCTCTGTACTGCTGAGGGCAGTGAAGGGGACATGATGGTGATTCTGGGATTCGGTTGAACCTTTAAGACTTTTGCAAAGATATACAGAGAGCATGCTGTGCTGCATTCATGCAAAACTCCTGAAAATTCCTGAGGATCAAGTGATATAAAGTGTGGGTGACAGAAGGCACATGATGGCTTTATTTGTACACCATGCTCACAGACCGTTCGTTTCACTCAGAGCCAACATATGTCTCAACATCTGTCTGAAGAGTCTGCTCTGTCTTGAAAAAAACCCAAAGGCTGGGACTTTCTGAAGTTAACAAACATGTATATTTATCTGAGGATATCTCCTATGATGCCGGCTGTGCTACTCTTAAGTCATGCTGTGGATGTACGTAGGTCCTGTTTCCTGTTCTTCTCTTAAGAGGTCACACCGCTCTTACTATTTCTGTACATTACTCACATGGTCCCAGCTGATAGTGAAATATGGGTAAGTTAATTTCCACCGCTTTGTTAACTGTGAGCTTCCTGTCACATGGTGTGAGAACAGAAACGCTAAGGAGTAACAAAGGAAGAATAACCGGTGGGACATAAGATGACGACTGAGCGGCTTACAGGAGGCGGACAAATTAATTAATCTATACAACGTGATGAAATAAATTTAGTAGCACTGCTCCTTTTACAAAGATTGTAATATCGTTTATCTTTGTTGAGACTGGGAGAGTGAAGACATTTCACTTTTACAATATTTTTGAGCCCATAGTTTGTTGCATCATTCTAATTAAATGCATTATATTACAAGATGTGCCTCTCATTTTGTCTTCCCATTGTATTCCCAAACTGCACTGCACTCAGTGGACATGAGGCATTGAAGTGTGAAATTTAAACAGCTATCAAAACCTTGAACAATAAATCCAGCGATGCAATGATAAATAATATTCTATGTAGTTTTCAGGTCCAATCTAAAATTCTAATTTTATTTAAACTTTAAAATGAAATGATGATGAACCACCAAAAACATGACCTACTCAGAAAGGCAGATTTTACATAAGGAGGAAAGTCTTTTTTTTTGGTGTTTACACACTGGTGTGACGGGGAAACTCTAATGTTAAAGGTGTATACTCACTGATGTAGAAAGTGCTTGGCGCCTGCTGGCCTTCAAACTGAAGTATGAGGAGGTTGCTGGTTTGACTGTCATGGCGGAGCCACAAGGCCACTCCTAAGATCACACCTCCGGCCAGCTGTCCCAAGGAGAAAAGGGTTTTCATTATTCTCTTTTGTGTTTCTTCACTTTGATGAAACCATGAGGAGGATCAGAGCCTTTTAAAAAGGCTGATATTCAGGAGATGTTGGCATGAATATTAAAACAAACTTGTAGTTATCAATTTTTAAGACATTTTAAAAAGACCCATCAATGTGGTTTTTAATATGGCGGCAACAGAGAGTGGCGTGACATCTGGGACGGCTCGAAGCCCGACTCTCCTAAGATCAAATCAGTGACTAAACCTGTCTGCTAATGTTTCTTGCCCTGTGTGTCCAGCTGTGCCGTGAGGCAGTGAACTGTCCGCTGTCCTTTAAGAGAAGTGATGAGAGGATATCCTGACACCCCAGTGACCCATGGCACAGACCGTGTCCTCACAGCACTGTTTAAAGCCAACTCAACAACTTTGTTTTTCAGTGTTATCTCCCTCAATCTCTCCTCTATTCTGTATCAAACAAAGCAGAAATATCCTGATAAAAGTCTTATCATATAAAAGCTGATGGAGCATAACTACTGAAGGATCACATCCAGCACAGATTATTGGTCACATGTTGACGCCCTTTTTCTTTTTGCCAGTGTTTATATCAAGGTATCTGCACATTTAGTGCCATGAGTGCACTCTATTGTTCTCCAAGAAACAGGAAACTGAATCCTCGACATGAAAAATAGCAAAATGAGGAAGAGAGGGCTCAGAGTTTTCACAATGACAGGCACAGCAACAAAACCAACAGAGGAAACACTCAATCAATTGCAGCGGCTGCAGGATATGGTGACTCTGCGCTCTCTTAAAAAAAAAAGAAAAAAAGACAACTGTTCTGTGCAGGCAAAACAAATGGAAATTCACAAGCGAGTGATCAGTTCAGACTGTGCAAGGCCATGAGTGAACACATGAAGTGGAAGACACCTCTGCAGGAAGTCTGATGTGATGTAATGAAGCGTAAAAGTAGAAAGCTGCATTAGACCACTGGACTACTGTGACAAATCCATTATCACTGACATAACTTTTCAGAAAACAAGCCAGACTTCAGGAGAGTTCAGTTTGCAGGGGGAGTGGACAATAAATTAATAAAACTGCACCAACTGATGAGGTGTTTCCTGAGTTCAAAAGCAGCAAATGCTACAATTTGGTGACCGGGTAGGAACAAAGTAATTTCAGAGGGAAACAGCGTTCCCCTCCCCCAGAAACTCTGTTAGCTCTGTTCAGTCTCTCCCTTTATGCGTTTTTAATTAGGGGAGAGCCAGACTCCTCTGAACAGCAAGAAATCCTCCACTGCTCAGATACAGTTTGTTCAGTTTCTCCTCTAAAACATCTGCCATGATCTGACTTTACTGTGTGGAGTTCATGATTAACATGAGCATGAGGTGACTCAAGGAAATGATGAAACTGAAGTAGAGTTAATGTGAAACGTGCTAAGCATTAAAAAAAAAAAAAAAAAAGCAGTCCTATATCACAGTGAAATGCCCACCCTGGCCCAGACTGCTCCCCTCTCCCTCTCTTCCAGCCACCCTGCGCTGGTGCTCGGCCATGCAGAAAATAAGTGTTGATGAAGGGTAAGAGCATTTTCAACTCTGCATGGCCAAGGTTTTGTGTGTGCTGTGCCTCCTCTGTGCTGATGCTGCTCTCCTCTCTGAAGACAGAACAGCCCCACACAGAGCAGCGTAATGAGCACAGCAGGGCGGGAAACCCTGTGCGTCTCCTCCAGGATTTATCATTTATGAACTGAAAGCCCTGAGCTACACAGATGTGTAAATGTGAGCAGCTGTTATTTCGCTTAATCGAACAAAAGGAGGAGAGAAAGTTTTAAGAAAGCATAAGTATGTCAAACTAAATCTTACGCTACATATAAATAAAATGTGTTCAACTCACCCAGAAAATAAAATTAAAGAAGAATAACATATATTTAATGCATCTCGTGCAGCCCGCCACAGCCATGTTGCCAGTTTTTTAAGCAACTCGTCCTTTTGCCCAAATCAAACACTTTGTGAGGTCAGTCTACTGTCCGGGATCACGCAGTCTCTGCCAGAGGACTCCGTTTATTCAGGCCAGGCGGAGTAAAAGCGTTTCAGTGCTGGAAACTCCTCCTTTATAATCAGGAGTGAAAACCGAGACTGGGAACTGCCCACCAAAGAGAAGAGGAGGATGAGGGGACAAGCAGCTCTCCATCTGAGAGAGCGACAATGCAGCGAGTCTAAAAAATGTTTTGGAAAGAAAGAGAGAGAGAGAGAGAGAGAGAGAGAGAGAGAGAGAGAGAGAGAGAGAAAGAAAGAAAGAAAGAAAGAAAGAAAAAGAAAAATACATTCTTCTCTCTAATAATAGAACATGTTTAAATTTTAAAATGTGCGTCACAGTGTTAAAACATCATGATACTGCTCTCCTCGTGCAGCATTAGTAAGTCTTTCAATAAAAAATATATTGACTATGCCAACCTGTGATTACTCTGTCTGCAGGTTTCTGAGATCTCACGATAATAAACAAACGTTAACGAACAATATAAAAGAGGACCAAAAAGTTTTCTGTTTCCAGTGAATAATGGCGCCCTCTGCTGGTGCGTTAAAACACAGGTAGAGGCCCTATTGGCTAATTATTATACAGATCAAGTGCAGCACATTGAGTTGCGCAAAAATTAAATTCTCTCAACTCTCCACTGTCTGCGCACATGTACACTGTCAGCAGTGTGATTATTACAGGCTCATTTCTTACGCCCGTAAATCATCAGGCCATAAGAAGCTGTATGATCAGATTCTCTTTGATCGTATGGGCGGATCTGCGCGTTCATGGCTCCCGGGTCACACCTTCTCCAGTCAGCTGTGCATGAACACGATGAGTCCCCTGTGACAGTAACAGCCGCTGACCGACCGTAACCCTCCGAGCCACGACGTTAAATGAGAGGGAGAAGAGAAATTGGGCAGCGGTGACAATTTTCAACAGCCTTAATTGGAGAACCTGACAGCGCCCTGTAACAAATGCAGGTTCCTCCACTGGGCATGCTCTATGTGAGAGAGGAGCTGGGCACGGTGTGAGTAACAGGCAGTTTGGGCGTCTTTTTTTTAGTGAGGAGGTTTGTCACTCTCTCATCTCTGATTTTCTTTATTTAATCACGCAGCACAGAGAACAACATTTTCTCTCTCTCTCGCACACACACTCAAACTGTGGATCGTCTCTTCTCAACCGTGCCTGAATGAAAGGGAAAGTCTATGCGCAGGGGAGCAGCGTCTCTGAGCTGAGACAAAGACCTGCTGTATCGTGGCGGGGTGTCGGTAAAACGCAGAGAGAGGGAGCGGGCAGAGCGTCGGTGTGAAGGAGGTGAGTCTGTAGGCAGCAACAGAGGAGGGACTGAAAGCAGTGTACCGACTCTCCATCAGGAGCTGCCGGACAGGCGCTGTCCTCTCAGCACCACCGCAGTCACCTTGCTGTGAAAGTCATAAACCTGCTCAGGACTGATCTGATCAATTACTGCAACCTGGGGAGTCCAATGAGCTGGATTTATTCTGCTGGCGGGGGGGAAAATTGCCAGCGTTTGTCCTTTTACCTCGACATCTTGGATTTACCGACGATGTGACGTCCATTCTTAATGTGATGCCATTGGCTGCGATCATTTTGGATTTCGATTCTATACCCTACAGTGAGTCTGGCAGCTCTACGCGTTCATGATCCTCTAGTTGCATGTGGCAGGTGCGTGTAGAAAATACAGGGTTTTAGAGGGAATGTAGCCTGGTGCGTTTCCAGCAGTCCTGATTTCTTTCATAGTTGGTAAGAAACGACAGTTTGCTTTACGCGCTGCTTTTCTTTAAGTAATTGTTTCCTTCAGTCTAATCACTGCTGTGCATGCTTGCACGGGGCGCCTAGACTTACCTTTGCGATGAAGGGAACTTATTGGAGAAATGCCTAAGGGACGCAATGGGCCTGAGCGACGACAAGGATCGCATTGTGATAAACGTGGGAGGGATCAGACATCAGACATACCGCAGCACCCTGCGCACTCTACCTGGCACTCGCTTGTCCTGGCTGGCCGAGCCTGATGCACCCAACCACTTTGACTATGATGCCAAGATCGAGGAATTTTTCTTCGACCGCCACCCCGGCGTTTTTGCACATATCCTTAATTACTACCGGACAGGTAAGCTGCACTGCCCGGCTGATGTCTGCGGGCCCCTCTATGAGGAAGAACTGGCCTTCTGGGGTATTGATGAGACAGACGTGGAGCCATGCTGCTGGATGACCTATCGCCAGCACCGGGAGGCAGAGGAGGCCCTTGATAGTTTCGGCGGGGGGGGCCTGTTAGACCTGGGGAGCGAGGATCCCGAGCCAGAGCAGGAGCATGCCGAGGATGCTGAGGTGGATGAAATGACAAGGAGGCTGGCGCATGGAGACTCTCCTGATGCCAGGAGTGGGAGCCTGTGGAGCCGGTGGCAGAGACATGTCTGGGCCCTGTTTGAGGACCCTTACTCCTCCAAATATGCAAGGGTGAGTAGTTTTATAAGATATTTTCTTGTGCTAAGCCATGGCTTTGTTCTTCCTGTTTCACTTATGATTTGGGGACTCCATAATGAGTTATCAAAGATAAATTGTGAGCTAAAACAATACTCTAAAATGTTTCATTTGTTTGAAACTGTCAAACCTGCATGAACAGGAATACAGTTGTGAATTAGTTTACCTCTGTCCTATGATGGTTGAACAAAGACTGATGGATCTGGGAGGCTTTAGAGAGGCTTTTGATGACCTTGAAATTACTCTCCCAGGGGTTTCCACAGCAAGGATGTGACTATACAGAAAGGGAGGGAGAACAAAAAAATCAACAAAAGACTTAATCTGTCAAAATGATTTTGACAGACCCCCCCCCCCCCCCCCCCCCCCAACCTCCTCTAAATCACAGATGAAGAAAAAGAAGTTCGTTTTGACTCTCACAGGTTTTTGGATAGATGTTTCCAGGACACAGGGTTCCCTGAGCTGGCTGGCTCTTTGGTTAAATAGGTCAGCTACACATTCGGAAACCAGATCCTTGGCACCACCAGAATTTTAGTGGCAGACCTCCAGACAGAAAATTGGGTTGCTGTTAGAGGTGACGTTTTTGGACTTTGTCATGGGCACTTTTCCATCTGGGCGCCAAGCCCCTCATTGATGGCAATGAAATGACTTTACACCTTCTGATTTTTTTATTTTCTGACCACTGCCTCCTACAAAGACCGCTGCGCTGCACACTGCTTTAACAGCTGTAGCAGTCTGATTGGTGTAATTACTTATCAGGCCTCATCCAGCAAGTGTAAACTGTATTGACATGTCCTCACTCTTACATCAAGCATTAGGGAGAGTGGTATGACCAAGATACACACTGTTCTCTTAGATTTCACCTTTTGCATGCAGGGAAATGTTCCAAGACAGGAAACCCCTCAGATGTGTCCTACATTTAACAAAAAGCAGAGCAAAGATTGACAGAGGTCTACCGTGTCTGGCAAGTAGATTAATTAGAACTGAGCCTCACAGTTAATTACAGACTCTATTCTCTGTGGATGCATCAGTGGAAAACCCTTGTCACTGCATATCACTATAGGCCTGTGGTTTGCCAGCAACAGAGAGAATTAGCCAATAAGGAGCAAACAATCTTTGCTTGTCACCCTCCCTCCAGGCCACACTGTTCCTAACTGTCACAAAGACACATAATTTAAGAGGCAGTCTGATGAGATGCAGCGTTTGTTCAACAGTTTGAGGGGTGGGATGTTCAGAGGGCTGAGTGAACCAGTGCATCAGCGGTCGACATGAAAGTGGCTTATAAGATTGGAGGATGCAGGCACTGGTGGTGATGGATGTTTGTCATCTCTCTTTCTAAGTAATATACAAGAGCAGGAAAAAATTAACAGGAGAACCTGCCAGTTAGAGCTGCAACTAAGGATTATCCTCATTATGTGATTATTTTCTGGATTAATCAAGTCAAATTTGAGCCATAAAATGGTGAAACATGCTGATTGCCATTCCCTGAAGTCCAAGCTGACATATTCAAAGAACTTGTTTTGTCCAACCAACAGTCCAAAACCTAAAGAGATCCTATTTACAGTTGTAGGGGACTAATAAGAAAACCAGCAACAGTTCTCAGTTCAAAAACAATTAAAACAATTAATTATCAAAATTGTTGCAGATGAATATTCTGTTGACTGACTCATAAATAAAGCTTAAAATATTAACATTTCTGTTGATACAGCATCTGTAAGGTGTAGACAGGGCCCAATAAAGCCACTAGGGTAACCCCAGGGCAAAATTTTTTCTGTAGACCTTTTTTTAGTGTCAATTTGGTTAAACATAAACTTATTAATGAATATACACCATGTCAAACTCTGGGACCCTGAAGGTCTGGGGTCCATGGGGCAGATGCCCACTTTTATAAATTGTTAATCCAGCCTGTGGTGTTGCTTCCTCTCAGTGTTATTTATTGAGATAGTTATAGTTTGCAGTTGTATTGGATTGGATTGTAGTCCAAGGTGTACTTGTTATTTTGCACAGCACATACTGTAGAGGGGGTGGACAAAACAACATTATGCAATCTGATAAAACAGCACCACATACTAAAATCTCTCTTACACTGTGTCAGCACAGGTTGAACATTGTTAACTTGACGAAGCTACATTTTAAAAGTAAGTTTGTATGTGATTGTATTAAAAGGTGAAGTTTCCCTTTTGTCCACACTGTATGTTTCGAAGAAATACAATACTGAATTTAAAGTGAATTCAAAAACACACAGCGCCACTGACATGCTACATTACAGTGAATAAACTGCAGCGACTCAACAACCTGATGATTGAGTTCTAAGATTCAGATATTGAACAGTGGTGTCGTCTCTCTGAGCAAAGAGAGGAAGTCAGTGTGCTGTAGTCACTGCTAACACACAGGTTCCCTCTGTACTGTCATACTAACATGGAAGGGAAGGAGACATTCATAAGCAGCAGCGATTTCCTCAGCACAATGCGATGAATTGCCAGTGATGAGATATTATGATGAGGGCCTGTTTTCCATCTCATGCTGCACGCCTGCCTTCCTGACACACCGTGAATGGACACAACTGACTAAGACACTGAGTTTCCTTTGCTCAGTGGAATATATATGACTTCCTCATGCCCAGACATGCCCCACTCCAACTTACCTCCTCCCTGATACCATTAATTACTCCTCCCAGCTACTTTACAATGCTATGCATTAGTCTGAGAAGTACATGCATGAACAAACCTCTATTGATCCAACTTTTGTGATTCATTGGATGATTAAGTAAGTATCTGCTCTTCCTGTCTAGCTTCTTTGTCCACCAGCTCCGATCTATTGAAGATCCATTGGAGATATAGCTGGTTTTTCATCCATTCAAGCTACAGTAAATTACATGAGCGGTGACACATACCCTAAACCAGCACAGTATGATCAGAGGATAATATGAGGTCAGAGCTGCAATCAATACCCTGGAGAGAATACTGTATCTGTTACAGCCATGTAGTATGCATCAGAAATATCAGAACCTAAATGTGATGAAATGTGATCGCCCAATTGAAACATAATGAGGGCTAAAGTACTCTTTTGCCATTAAGGGAAATATGGGTTTCTCATAAAAGTGTCTCCTCAGCTAAGCGAGCCTCACCAGCCTCACAAGCGCACTACGATTCCCAAGAGCTGATCATCTGGACAGTATGACCTTGCATAGGGAAAACCTACTGTACCGATGCTGCTGAAGGGAAGAGCCCCAGCTAAATTTAGTCACGGGGGTCGACACTAATGGCTCGGCCGCTACTGCTGCTGCTGGTGGCTCTTTATAATTCTGCATGTAGCATACCCTTGAAAATGCCATGACCTTGAGATACAGCAGAGGGAAGGGAAGGAAGAACGGCAAGCGCGCATTGATTGTCCCCTTTACAATGACACTTGTGAATCAAGACGCACAGAGAGCAGGGTGGGTGGGGGGTATGGGGTAGAGGGCGGGTAGTGAGAGTGTGTCAATGCCACTGTCACTGTCAAACCAGTTGCCATTGTCTCAGATTGAATTGCATTGTGTCGTGCAAAGAATGGCAGCTGGGCCGTTGAGCTTGATTACACTGCATGTGCTTATTCTCCTCTCTGTCCTTCTCGCCCTCCTCTCTCCCCTCTATTTCTTCTCCTGCACCCTGCACATATTTCCTGCTCAGTGGGTGGCTCTGGCCTCGCTGTTCTTTATTCTGGTGTCCATCACCACTTTCTGTCTGGAGACCCATGAGGCCTTCAACCCCATCATCAACCGCACTGAGCTGGAGCTGGTGGACAACATCACAGTGGAGCACACCTACCAGGAGACGGAGACTGCGGCCTACCTCACCTACATTGAGGGTGTTTGTGTGGTGTGGTTTACTTTTGAATTTCTAATGCGAATAACTTTCTGCCCGAATAAATTTGACTTCATACGGAACGCCCTGAACATCATCGACTTTGTGGCCATCCTGCCCTTCTACCTGGAGGTGGGTCTCAGCGGGCTCTCCTCCAAGGCAGCTAAGGACGTACTGGGTTTCCTGAGAGTGGTCCGCTTTGTGCGGATCCTGCGTATCTTCAAGCTGACACGTCACTTTGTGGGGCTGAGGGTGCTGGGCCACACATTGAGGGCCAGCACCAATGAGTTCCTTCTCCTCATCATCTTCCTTGCTCTCGGTGTCCTCATCTTTGCTACCATGATCTACTACGCTGAACGGATTGGAGCTAACCCCAACGACCCTCGAGCCAGTGAGCACACACACTTCAAGAACATCCCAATCGGATTCTGGTGGGCTGTGGTGACCATGACGACCCTCGGCTACGGAGACATGTACCCTCAGACGACCTCTGGTATGCTGGTTGGAGCCCTTTGCGCCCTGGCAGGTGTGCTGACCATCGCCATGCCCGTCCCTGTGATTGTCAACAACTTTGGAATGTATTACTCGCTGGCCATGGCAAAACAGAAACTACCAAAGAAAAAAAATAGGCATATCCCTCGGGCTCCCCAACCAGGTTCTCCCAACTTCTGTAAGTCAAGCATCAGCTCCCAACCCCAGAGCCCCATCGCCCATGACGACGTTTTTGAGATAAAGTTTCAAGGTAAGAAACAAAGATCATATACTCGTATATTCTGATACACTGTTGTCTCGTCACTTGTCCATCCTCATGAAACAGACACGTCACAACTCAGCTGTTCCCACACTTCAATCAGTTGATGATTTCCCACAGAAAATAATCAATTAAAATATGTAATGAAAAGCATATTCGACTCTGGATAGAAGATTAGAGACTGAGGCAGACTGAGTAATCATGCTATTGATTTTGCACTTATTAATGCAGCAATTCAGTCCTTCCCTCATTTAAGACTGAGAGTCTGTTATCACCATGTATTTGTAAGAACATGTAAACAGACGCTTTAGTCACTTGATTCCTCTTGAATTCCTTTGGTTGCATTAGTGCAAAGACATATTGACCTTTGATACAGTTTGTGCTCAAAAACGTAGAACAAGGGACGGTGCGAGGCAAATATTAGACAGCAGCTATACATACAATGTTGTTATACAAGTTAATCCCTGCAGGTCGTAGAGTGAAAATGGCATATATATTAAAGAACATAGTACTAAGCTGGTATATCAAACCAGATTTTTTTCCCCGTGTGTTTTTCTTTCCTTTTCTTTATTGTTTTCTTATAAGATTCCAAGCTGAATGGTGAGGCAGCTAACGCAGCGCTGGCCAACGAAGATTGTCCTCATATAGACCAGGCCATATCTCCGGAGGAAATCTTCAGCCCCAGCGAGAGAGAGCGGCCCTGCTTCCTGGTCACCACTGCTGAACGCCCCAACCACACAGGGGGCAGAGTAAGGAGGGGTACGTACAGTAACAGCCAATCACAGGCCCCCGTAAGACACTGACACCCTGTAGAGCGTAGACAGGACACGCTTCCTTTATCCCTCTTTGCTGAGTGTTACATCTCAGTTTTACACAGGCACATGAACACAAATACACAGAAGCACACACAACTATAAAACCTCTTATTACAACCTTCACACACTTTCACAGCAGCTTCTTCTTCTCAATCATCCCATTGGGAATTGTATATATTCCAAGTCACAATAACATCTGTTAAGGCCAAGCACAATCACCACAAATGCTAATAGGTCAATAGTAATTGTCCACATCTACATAATATATTTTTTGATACCATGCATAATGTAATACCCCTATTTACTTACCAGTAAGAAAAGCTATTTTCGAGATTTATATGATCTAGAATGTGTTGTCTTACATGCCTAAGAAAGTATTTATGTGTTATGCGTGTATCATGTATGTATATGTGTTTTAATGATAAATACTGTGCGGGACCCTGACTTATGAGTACATTGGTCTTGACCATAACGGTGCATGAAGTGTCTTGCTGATGGGTGCTATCAGTATGGTGAAGGAGCACAACACAAATGGAGGAAGGCTAATGTCAAATATTATTATTAATATCATTAAGAGCCAAATTCTAGCTCACTGATTTTTATAGTTTAATACCAGGGTTAAGCCCCTTTTTGTTTACTTTTATTTAGTTACTATTAATGTTAAAAACATTCCTAAGAAAGTTAAGTTAGTCTCCGGCTGTGTGTGCAGCCAGCACATCAACAGTAAATGGCGTACAGTATGAAATTCTGCCTGTAGCTGAGAATACATTCCCTGCCTGAGGTGCCTACCTTTTCGAGTCTTTTATAGTGTTATACTCCAAACCATTCCAGTACCACCCGGTGCATGCTGTTGTACTCCTGATGCACTCAATGCATGGAGAATAATAATCTGTCTCAAGTCCGTGTTGACCTGTTTCTTTGGAGACAAAAACAAGAAAGCAACAGGTGTAGTATTGCCAGTGAGGAACACCAAAACATTTTGTCATGGATTTTAGTGCTGCAGTGTACTCAGAACGTTCTCTGTTTTTCAACTGAAGGTTATGAAAAGCCTTGGAGCCTTAACAGCATGTCTGGCATGAGCGGGGATGCCTCTGGAGTGTCCTCAGTGTCCGCCCTGCCCTGCAGCCCACCCTGTCTAATGCAGCACTCACATTCTCCCATCCCATCCATTATGTAGCATGGTTGAGTAGCAGACACAATGCCATTGGAAGGCCAGTCCACACTCCTCCTTCTTATCCTTCCTGTCAGATTTTGCTTTTACACTTGCCTTCGCTCCTGCTTTTTTCATTTTGATTTCTTTATTTTTCTGGAAAACTGTATCTTAACTGTGCTAATACTCAAGCTTCCCAAGTGTTCTCCTTGGGTGTGTCATCATATCCTCGACTAGAAAACATTGGCACATGCCACTCTGCATGGGTCACTTCAGTTGCAGACAAAGCACTGTTCTACTTCTGCCACAGGCTAACCCCACTCTTTCCCTGTGTTTAAATCATTGCCTGTTGCTCTGTTGCTTTTGATCTCGCATTCTCTTCTGCCAGTAACTTTTATCTCATCTGCTTTTTACAATTTTGTGAAAGAAATTTTCATAAGATGTAACCCCTGCTAATATGCTGGACATTAACAATACATGGCTTTTAAACATATCCAAAAGGTACCATTGCCAGCTGTTAAGGGAACTCCTTTTAAGTGCTTTGTACGTTGCAAAGTAGAGACGTTATCCTTCTGAAAGTGCAATCCAGACAAGGCTTAATGTTATCTGAGTGGCCATTACAAAAAATATTTTAACATGATGTTCATGATGTCCAATGCAATATGGAGATGATGACAATTCCTATGATACTAGTGATGAATACATCTAATGTCAAAAGAACTAAAACTGTTTGTTCATTTGCATGAACTGCATGAGAAATTATGTTCAACAAGAAGCTAACTGTATCGCAGTACCTGTAAGAAAAAAAAAAAAACTTTTTCTTTCAAAAGCTTCTACAGCTTTGTCATTTTTTATGCATTTTGAGACAGCTTTACAAGAGACTCAGTCATAGCAGAGATTTTTATGTAGCTGCCATTCTTTGCCTTTCCCCAAATTCATACAGTATATTTATTTTCTTTTTTTTATCTGACTGGGGCCTCCAACTAAAATAGTGTGGTTTAACTTGAATAATCTGTCAAAAAGCCAACCACTGCTGTTATGAGCATAAATAGTTTTTATACAGCTATATTTACAGGTATTTATGAGTTTTTAAACAGTATCGATAGTCTGCAGCAATTTCACTGACTGCTGTGATGCCTAAATTAAGGCAGGACTGAATTATTAAACAACGGTGCCTTCATACCTGGTGAGGCAAAGTAAAAGTGAGTAATAAATTGACATGATATTACATAAGTGCTCGCAGTGTAGCATCAATTAATTTTATACCATGCTCATAACAGTGTAATGAAAGCTTTATTTACAAGGTGCACCTTGTACCTTTTGCACCCTCGTACCCTCAATCACAGTAAAACAACCTTTTGGTTATTATTGTAACACCATACATGCATACTAGGATTTAGCCTTTAGTGAGATACATAACTCCAAGCAAAAAACACCTGAAAATACTGACTTAATAGTCCCAAACTCAAGAAAACTTTTGTATGATAAAGCACAAAATATTATCAAAGGGGACCAGGCAACTCTACAGAGCCAAAATATATCAAGTTATCAACCAGAGATGTCAGGATGACTCCTACAGTATGTATGTCTATTGATTTAAAACATCAATACTATTACTGTTACATGTATTGATACTGTCCCAATAATTATGCACAATTCTTTCAGGGCACTTTAACAAATTTTATGTTGACCAATCAGAAATGTTAATTTCTAGAAGAATATATAAGTATAGCAACTCATCTAAGTTTTGTTTTTATTCTGAATGAGCAGAGTTTTACATTTTGAGTCATGTCTCTTGTGGTAATTAATGGACGTTATATATTTAAAAAGAAAAAAAAACCTTGTGAAGATTTGATGTGAAGAGATGCAGGTGAATTATATGCTCATGCAATTCAAGTGAAAAAAAAAAGTACAATACGACACAGTATGGGATGTGGGTCTACTTGGGGAAAGGTAAATGCATGTATTTTACATTTATGCAACAGAAAAGTATTCAAATAAAATATGTAAATATAAGTCCTTGCATGAAATAAATTTTATACACAACGAGCGTTTAGACTCCGTTTTTATTCAACAGCACTATGCATACATACAACTTTCCTTTCCCACTAGCTTAAGGCTAGTGCTTTCAACTGCTGTTTGACCCTCTGTCTACCTGTGTTCGGGTCAAAGAGAGCATAAAAAACGAGGTGACTGTGAGAGCATGACGCAAAGTATACAAACGCATGACAATGACTGAACTACTGTACATCAACCTGTAAAACGCAGCATGATTGGGCATGTTTATTAACCGACTCAGAGTCCAGCCTCTGTACACAGACAGTACATCGTTGTCTGATGCCTTGGCTAAGCATGGGAAATACATGGTAAACCTGTCGTTTACCATGAGGAACTAACGGAGCACATTTTCTTTACTCTCCAAGCTAGTGTCATCCCTCACCTCTCCCCGCACCTCCGAGGTATCCATCGTCGCCATCATTTCCATCATTATACATAATTTGTGTAATAATTTATTTTTGTTATTGTTTTTTTATATGTTTATAGAGACCCAGCGACAGCACCGGAGCAGACAACCAACAGAGTCAGTTTGTGTTATGAACCATGGTGTACCAACCACTATGTGTATGACCCATAATGGCCCATCACCCACCTGATAGTCCTGTAGCATTGTTGTGTGTATTACTTAGTATTTTTAAATGGGTGTGACAGTGACAACCTGTACATCACAAACTCAGCATAGATGTAGCACTGAGGAAGTTTTGTTGTCAAGCCTTATGTAGCTCAGTATCTGTGACTGGTTACTGTGTTGTAATTTGTGTGCCTATTTTTGGTGTGTGCCAGTGTTGTAAATACGCTTTTCTGTGTGCTGAAGTTGTGTGTACCAATGTTTTTGAGTGATCATCAAATATTTGTGTGCTTCTTCTGTTGAAAGAAAAAAAAAAAAAAAAAAATGTTGCTCCGATTTAACCCCCCCCCCAGCGAAAACCTGTCACTTGTCATGTCAGCCAGACTAAACAGTGGGAAACAAATCGTTAACTTTGCACTGTCATGGTCACATCTTTGTAGACTTTTTGCACTGTTTTGCACCAGTGAATTTTTAACATTCCTTTGATATGTTTTCAGCCATCAAAGAGATAACATCCACAAAAAAATGAAAAAGGTCATACTTTTAAAAAAAACAACAACAAAAAACAAAACCAAAAAAACACCACTTTTACCTTGTATTAATGATGCATTAAAATGGCAAAGTGTGCTGTTAAAAACACGTAAGTCATTTAATGTTAGTCAGACATGAATAATAAATATTCAACATTAACCGATGTTGATATATCTTCATATGTAGCTATACTTTGATTAACAAAGACAGCTAATATATAAAATACACAGCTAGACATTAAGAATTATTCTGTTGTATGTTTTAATTGACAATCATGTGGAATCGGATTATTATTCTTTTTCTGCACACATGCAAATTGGTAAATTAGTATGTAATACTAAGTGATGCCAAAACATCATACGCCTCATACTGGACAAGTGCCTCTGTTATGCAAGTTCTTCTTACCATTCAGGACTATAGCTTAACCAACACGATGAACTTATGTACATTTTATTTTAAATTAACCATCAATCACCAGCCATTAAAAACAAGCACCAGTTCAGACTTAAAAAGTACACGGATACAATAAGGACCCCCGTATGGATCAGCTTCTAAAAGCAAGCAGTGAGAATACCTAATTAAAAAATACCCATCAGGTACAAAATATTGATTCATTGTTTGTGTGGAAAAGTTAGTGGAAAGGGACCAACTTTTTACCAAACAACTGCAAACACACTGCCAACAACTTGCCGAGATCTGTGTGCAGTCAGGCACAGCAGATCTGGATCTGCCAGTAGAGCTGAGCACAAATGGGGGGACAGTGTGCTGATCATTGTTCAATGAAACAAACAAACAAAAAATATATATATATTAAAATATATATATACATATATATATATATATATATATAATAATACAGCAGCAGTTATTATTAATGGAATCAATAACGCAACAAAGAGGCAACTGTTGTGTGCCATTTAGTGAGCCTTCAGAGTGTGTGTTTTGAACACCGTGCATTTTGTGGTTAGTTATCTCAATAAGGTGTTCAGTGATCGTTTTGATTGGTTTGTTGTTTAGGGGTTTTTTGTGTCTTTTTTGACCAATACAGTTCAGGCTTGTACAATAAATAGTGATAAATAAAAAAAACACAGAAATGATCATTTTTCAGTGAGTGTTGATTTATTTTTTCAAAGTAATCCAGGGTAAAGCACTTTAATTTAACTTTCATTAATGCATAATTTCCGTGACACAGATGATTTCTACATTTAATTTGCCTAAACTATAATCATAAAATAAAAACTTTTGAAATAAAAAAAGGTAAATATAAGGGAAAATATCATCCCTGACCCATTCCCATCGCCCTTGACCAAGGCATTGCTTAAGACCTGCAGCTGGTCTCCGGGTGTGCTGCACTGCGGTCACCCACACCTTATAAATATGTAGGTTGGGTCAAATGCAGCAGACAAGTTTCTCCCAAAAGGAATTAATGAAGTATACAGTATGAAAGTGGTGCAAATAAGACAAACATAACAACAAAGAAAATCGCACAGACTGACAAGAATATAAATAAGTGATGGACAGTTAGCAAAGAAAAAATACTGTCTTGTATGTCTGAGTGGTAAATCATGAGATTTTGCAGGGATTGACTGCCTCCTGACACTCAAGATCACAGCAATAAAACTGCTGACATGGGAAGATGGAGCTATAGCACCAGTCTAGCCCATCCCTCACACGATCCATTACGGCTTCATTCAGGAAGACAAACATGGCAGTTGGACCAGGAGCCATAGGCATGGCCATGTCCTGCAAAGCCAACGCCCCCAGTCATGTCCATCAAAGTGATGGGCTGGTCAGAGAAATTATGGCCTCTGTTCACATGAAACATAACTCAACCTGTGTCCAACCACACGATAGTATTTATAACAGTTCAGCTTGAAGTCTGACCTGTTCAAGCAACTCAGGTAGCCTTTTCAGAAGGTGAAAGTTACTGTATATTCAAAGGCACTTCAAAATAACATGCATAGCAACAATAAGCCACTAAATCACTCAGAAATGTTACTTCACAAAGTCACTGTTTGTCTCGTCTCTGATTGTCACATGCCGAATGAATGTTCCTGCTAGAGTCGGTGCAGAGTTTAATCACGAGCCAGTTGCCGCGGCGCACACTGCCATAGAGTGTCCAGCTCCACAGCCAATGAGAAGAGGTCTGAGACCAGATATGAGCTGAGGCTGAAAGACGTCGGTCTGTGAACCGTCTCCACACATTCCATGTTCGTTCCAGCCCCAGGAAAGGAGACAACCCCCTGAAAAGGAGAGGGGTCATGGGTCAGTGGAGCTGACAGAAAAGAGACGGGGCTGCAGCACTGTACCATGTAGGCTAAAATTAGCAGCCTGAAGGAAAAAAAACAAGGAAGGCTGTGAGCACGCATGCACACACAAACACAAACACACACACACACACACACACACACAGTCTCTGTTCCTAACGTTGACACTCAGCCAGTAATAAAGCCTCCCCGCTCTTCACAACTGGTGAGCTTGTTGGTGGGTGTGGTCAGGTCTGCATCACCGAGGAGACACGTG